ACACACACACACACACACACTTTAAACCGAAGTTCGTATCATCCCTGAATAAAGAACAGAGTCCCAAGACCGGCTTGAAGAGCGCGCCTAAGGCTGGCGGGAGGACGAGCCCTCGCGCGCGTCGCTCGCTCCTCCGTGCATTTTCCTCCATCGCCGGCAGGTGGAGCTGACGGGCAGCAGCGTCTTCGACTATGTCCATCCTGGGGACCACTCCGAGGTGCTGGAGCAGCTGGGCATGCAGGCACGGACGCCCGGACCCCCCACCCCGTCCTCCATCTCTTCCTCTTCATCCTCCTCTTCCTCTTCCTCCTCGCTGGCCGAGACCCCAGAGATTGGTAACTCCATAGGCCCCCAGAGCATGAGGCCAGAAGGCCTGTGAGGGGGGCCGTGGAGGGTATGGGATGTACTGTACCCAGCTGGGACCCTCCTTAAGCCAAAGCTTGCGCAAAAGCAAGTTTATAGAAAGTGAATCAGAGTCAGAATGGACGTGCTGAGACCAGGGTCCCTTAAATTCATCTAAGCTCCCTTAAGATTGCCTGGAGGCCCGGGATTTGAGCTTTAGAGAGAGCCCTGGTGGCAGAATGGTTAAGCATTGGGCTGCAAAGAGTTACAGTCTTGGAAATCTACAAAGGCAGCACTATCCTATCCTATAGGGTCACTGGGAGTCACAATCAACTGGAAGCAGTGAGTTGAATTTGAGTTGTTGGAGCGCTAACAGACAGACCAGTGGCTTTAGGGATAATAATGCAGGCTTATTACTGTCATTATAAATGTTTGTGTTTGGGGTTGGCCTTTGTGCCTCTAAATACATCATTGCCTTGTCCCCCCCCCAGAAGCCCCCTACAAAGCAGAAACTATGATTACCCTCCCGTTTAGAGGGGGGAAACTGAGGCCCAGCATAGAGAGGGCAAGGTGCTGTAACTGGTTGAGTTGGACCTGCCTGGCCCCAGGGACGGGGCTCCTAGCTCCTTTCCCCAGTGGGGAAGGCTACTGGGATGCTGAGGGGGGAGGGGCATACCCCTTGAACTCTGAGACTTTGGGAGGCACCATGGTTTACCTCGGGACAAATAACTCAGTAACTCCCGGCCCATGGAACCTATTCCAATCAAATCGATTCCAACTCATCACGACCCAGAGGCTCTTGTGAGTTTCTGAGATGGTAACTCTTTACCGATTAGTAGCCACTCCGCCAACAAGACTCCTTTGAGATGACGAGGATGTTCTTTTTATTGGGCATCGGAGGCCTGAGGGTGCTGTCAGGTTATCTCTGGACAGCTAACTGCTGTGTCGGAGTTTCCAACCCACTGGCCAATCCTCAGAAAAAAGATGCGGCTCTCTGCTCCTATAGAAACAATAAAAAAACCCTCACTGCCATTGAGTTGATTTTGACTCACAGAGACCCTAAAGGACAGCAGTTCTCAACCTGTGGGTCTTGACCCCTTTGGGGGGTTGAACGACCTTTTTCACAGGGGTGGCCTAAGATCATCAGAAAACACACATTTCCCAAGGTCTTAGGAACCGAGACACCGCTCCTCTATCTGTCTCCAGGTGGTGCCCACATGCAGAAACACCCACCTACAAGTACCCAGCGTCAAGACTGTTACCCATGCTACACCATGCTTCGAGACAAAATTTAATTGCCATTAGAAATAAGTATTTCACAATATGAAAATTACACATTGTTTTTGTGATTCATCACGATGCTTTCATGATGTTCAATTTGTAAGCATGAAAATAGATGCTAAATAAAATAAGGGGGGAAATAAGAAAAGAAAATACATCCTGCCTATCAGATATTTACATGACGATTCATAATGGTAGCAAAATGACAGTGATGAAGTAGCAATGAAAATAGTGTTATGGTTGGGAGTCACCGCAACATGAGGAACTGTATGAAAGGGTCGCAGCATGAGAAAGGTTGAGAACCACTGCTCTAGGACAAGGTAGAACGGGCCCCTGTGGGCTTCCCCGACTATAACTCTTTATGGAGTACAAAGCCTCCTCTTTCGCTGAAGCAGCTGGTGATTTTGAACTGCTGACTTTGGGGTTTGCAGCCCAACACATAACCACTACACTCCCACTAAGTAGTCCAACTGTCACCAGGGAAGAGCTGGGCTTTCTTCTAAAGGCCTTCAGGACTCAGAGCAGAAGGGACAGGGCCGGATGTGAGCTTGGAGGGGGATGGGGGAAGAAGGGAGGGGAGGCTGGGGGAGGCCAGCGGGTCTCCCGGATCTGATCTGGCCTGGCCGGCTGCTAGGCCTGGGCGCGGGTGCCTGCCTTCCTCCTCCACTGACTCATCTTCCTCTCCTCTGGCCCCAGAGACCAGCCCCGCGCAGGTGGCCCCATCCTCGCGGGTCCAGGAACGCTCATTTTTCATCCGCATGAAATCCGCCCTCACGAAGCGCGGGCTGCACGTCAAGGCGTCGGGGTACAAGGTGCGTGTGCCTTCTCCAGCCCAGACTTTGGCCTCCCACTCCCGCTCCCACTCCGTGCCTGCCCTGCTCCGAGGGCGACCGAGAATGCCGGACTGTGGCTTCGGGGAGTCTCCGGGCTTAGGGAAGGCCCCCAGCTAGGCCCCAGAGGGTGGAACTTAGGGGACTGGGTCAGGGAACTGCCCCAGGACTGGGTGCACCCCCCTGCACCCCCTCGACCCCCGCCCCTCCAACCACGCCCACCACCAGCAGGTCATCCACGTGACCGGGCGCCTCCGGGCCCGCGCGCTGGGCCTGGTGGCGCTGGGCCATACGCTGCCCCCGGCCCCGCTGGCCGAGCTGCCGCTGCACGGCCACATGATTGTCTTCCGCCTTAGCCTGGGGCTCACCATCCTTGCTTGTGAGAGCAGGTACCGGGGCCGGAGGAGAGGGTGGCAGGGTAGAGGGCGGGTCCAAACCCTCCCCGTGTTTCCCTGCCCCAGCACCTCCAGGGTGCTCCAGACCAAGATGTGCTGTTAATGTCCCGTTTTACAGAGGGGGAAACAGAGGACCAGAGCACACCCCCCACCCTTACCTCCAAGGTCGGGGTTGGAGTTCAGGGTGAGCTGGATGCCAACCCTGCCTCTTCCCCCACCCCCACCCATGGCCTGGGATCCCCCCCCCCCTTCTTTGTCACCCACTCCCTCAGAGTCAGTGACCACATGGACTTGGGGCCCTCGGAGCTGGTGGGGCGGAGCTGCTACCAGTTCGTCCATGGTCAGGACGCGGCAAGAATCCGCCAAAGCCACCTAGACCGTGAGAACCGCCCCGCCCCCACCCCTTCCTGCCTACCTTCATTCCGGCCCTGAGCGCCCAGTGTGTCTGGAAGTCCTTCTTCCTGGCTGACTGCAGTCCTTCCTGCTGCACCTCCAGCCTAACTCAGCACAGCCAGGAGAGCCAGGAGACTCTGAACAAGGGCTCAGGGGGGAGCAGGAGAGGGAGGCTGTTGGGTCTCCCACCCCAACCCTCTTCAAGAGCCAGGGGGCCTTGACGCCAGGGTGCCGCACCTTCTGATGGTCCGTTTCTTTTCCTCTCTTCTCCCTGTCTGAACTCTACGGCCTCAACTCTTGTCTCTGTTGGTCTCCTGTCTCTCTCACCTGTCAACTCACCCCCATTCCTCTGATCTCGCCCTGTCCTGGGTCGGACCCAGTACTGGACAAGGGCCAGGTGATGACCGGTTATTACCGTTGGCTACAGCGAGCAGGGGGCTTCGTCTGGTTGCAGTCCGTGGCCACGGTGGCCGTGAGTGGCAAGAACCCTGGGGAGCGCCACGTGCTCTGGGTCAGCCACGTGCTTAGGTGAGACCACGCCTCCTTCCCCCAGGGCTCGGAGTTCAGCCGCCTGGAACCCACCTCTCCTGGAACCCACCTCTTGCGCTTCGTGGGGGCTTCTAGACGGGGTACACTTCAGGGAACGGTGTGAAGACACCGCAGGGGAAGGGAAACAAGGACCAGGCAACTGGCATCTCAGGGGAAAAGTGTATGTGAGGGAGGCAGCGTCCAGGCCACCCTGGTCCCGGGTTGGGGGAGGGGTGTGTGTGAGTCAAACTTGACTCTAATTGGGCCAGGCCATCATGGCTGGTTTCAGCCAGGGGAGGGCATTGCAGGCAGGGGGCACAAGCATAGCCCAGAGCTGGATCCAGGGCTGGATTCAGCCCTGAGGCTGAAGAGGGCAGGGCCACCTCTTAATGCAACTTCAACTCCAGGGGCACTAGGGAGCCAAGGAAGGTTGTAGAGTAGGAGAGGAGCACCGTTGACTGTGATTTTGGGGAGCACCTTTCTGACTGCTGTGTAGAGGGAGCTGAGGGCACAAGGAGGGCCTTTCATGCCTCAGGGAGGGGGTGACATGGGATGGAGCTTGTGTCTATAGCCACTGGTGAGGGAGGGACTCTACCATCCCCGCCAGTGGTCTGCGTGCACAGTAGGGAAGGGCAGGAGGGGGAGCTACTTTTCCCAGAGGCTGGGCAGCTCACCATCCCATATTCCCAATACTGTTGTCTTGTCCCCAGCCAAGCTGAGGGCAGCCAAACGCCTCTGGACGCCTTCCAGCTTCCGGCCAGGGTGACATCTGAGGATCCGCCCAGCCCTGAGCCCCAGCCCACAGGTGAGACACATTCCAGAGCCCAGATGTCCACTAGTCACAGGTGGGATTTTACATGGGCACGAAACTGAAGTCAAACGAGAAATGCAGGTCCTTGATCACATTCCAGGGCTTTGTAGCATCCCCCGACCCCCCACCCCTGCAGCTGGTGGCTCCAGCGCAGTTCTAGAACATTCCATCATGGAACGTTTGATGACTGGCCAGCACAGGTCTAGGCTTCCCTATCCGGGCTCCTTCCACATACTTAACAACCCAAACTGGGCCATTGAGCCGATTCTGAGGAAGAGTGCCTCCCATGAACTGCTCTGGAGGGTTCCCCAAGGGCAGTAAATCTGCGGAGGCAGACGGCCAAACCCTTCCTTTGCCTTCAGAGCGGGGTTTGAACCACCAAGCTCTTGGTTCGCAGTTGAGCCCTTAACCACTACACAACAGAGCCTCCAAGCTAGGGCCCAATGAGTCCGGCCCCATTCCGCGGATGGGAAAACTCAGTCGGGGACGCATGCGCGTGCACAGTCCTCTCGGGAATCTTCCTCTTCCAGAGCCAGACCCTCCAGTGGGCGGGAAGCAGATTGCCCCCCCGGACAAGGATGAGCGTCCACAGACCCGGGGCAAGCGCATCAAAGTAGAACCTGGCCCAGGGAAACCCGCAGACCCGGAGGACAGCGAGGAAGAGGCCCCGCCGCCAGGCTGCCCCACCCGGCCACAGCCCGAGTTCACGTCGGTCATCCGGGCAGGGGCCCTGAAGCCAGACGTGGTGCGGCCCTGGGGCCTGGCGCTGCCTGGGGAGCCCCCGGGGTCCCTGTTCCATGCGGGCTTCCTGGCGCCCAGCATGCGGGGTCTGTGCACGCCAGGCACTATCCGCTATGGTCCCACCGAGCTGGGTCTCCTGTACCCGCACCTACAGAGGCTGGGCCCGGGCCCTACGCGTCCTGAGGCCCACTACCCAGCCCTGGGCCTGCCCTACCCCAGGCCCATGGGCACCAGGGAGCAGAGGGAGGGAGACTAATAGCCCGGACATGGCTCGGACCCCTGGAGAATTAAATACCAGTTTCCCCTCGGGCAGCATTTGTCCCTGGGGGGCAAAGTGCCAATCTCCTTGTGCTGATGTTCTCTTCGGTCCCTCCCTCCTCCTTCCACCCCTCCACCCTCTCCACAGACCACTCAACATCTGGAAGGGTGGGTCAGAATTTAATGTCCAGGCCTGCGGGCCCCAGGCTGTCCTGCCCGCAGGGCCAGCGGCTGCAGTCACTCAGGTGGTGGCCGGCCAGCCTCGTCGGGGCCTTCCGCTGTCCCGTCATCTTCAGGTACCAGTTCCACATCCAGCTCAAGTTGGCCCATGTAGAGGCCGACTGCGCAGGCCCAAAGCAGGCTGACGGCCAGCACGGCCCCCACTCCCACGGTGGCGCCCCCTAACGAGAGCTGCATGGGCCCCCGTAGGGCAGCCAAGCCCACGGCGTAAGAGGCGCTGCCCCAGACCACGCACAGGCCGCCCAGCAAGAAGAAGCCTGCGAGGGGGAGAGGGCCGGAGAGGCTGGTCAGCACTGGATAGGGCTGAGGGGGGCTGCATACAAAATGTATCCAAAGGGTTATAGGTGGGGCTGGGAGCTGAGATGGGGTCAGGAAGGGGATGACCAAGGTCAGGGTCAGGGCTAACATAGCGCTGACTGCATGAGAGAGAGTACCAGAGAGGGCTTCTAGAACTTGTCCAAAATGCCCTGCTAAGAACCACAGATGTAGCTCTACCCATTCCGCAGAGAGGGAGACTGAGGGCAGGGAGTTTGCTCGCACGCACGCACGCACGCACGCACGCACGCGCGCGCGCGCGCCAGAACAAGGGCTCTGTATATTGGGACAAGGAACCTTGCCTTTCCCCGGAATGGTCTTACCCTGGGCCATCAATGAGTTCTCAGATATGCCCAAGAGGTAGGATTGGGGAGGATGGGGGAGACAGGGTCAGAGGAGACTCACCATAGGCGGCTTCCCGACCCATGTCACTCTGCATGAAGGAGATGACTCCAATCCCGGACGCCAGGAGGCCATTTCGAAACCAGGAGAGGAAGGCTGGGAGGAGAGAGGTGGGAGGGACTTCAGCATTGCCACCACCCTCCCCTCCACTGGCGCAGAAGTGATGAGTCAAACGGTGGAGTCTCGCCCTCATCCCACCCATCGCAGAAGCTCCACAACCCAAAATTCACCCTCACCCCTGTACTTCTGAACCCCTCACTCTTAGACCCTGCAACATCAAGTTTGAAAAAGAGTACCGGCCCAAATTGCAGAATCGAGGTGGGAGGACAGGGAGAGCCTAAGGGATGAGCGAGGTCAACTTCCTCCCATGCCCCCAAGCCCCTCTGGGTGGCTCCTCCAACCCTTTCTCAGACTTCTGGGATAAACCGTCTCCCTCTTCCCTTTGCCTCAAATACCACTGTCTATTACCAGTACGCCCTCCCGCCCCTCTCCCCCCACCCTCTAATCTCATACCCAAATCCCTGCTGTGACGCTAACAGGCGAGCGCAGTAAGGACACCCCAGCCTCCTAGCGGCCTCATCCTAAAGAACTAGGGACTCCCTCCCACGAGGTCCCGCCCCTTGCAGCCCAGATCGCCTCTCCGCCCAATTGGCGAACAGCTCCTCTCCTATTGGTTGTGCTCTCCCCCAATCAGAAACTTCCCTCTTCCCGGTGGGATCAGCACTCCCGCCTATGCAGAGTGCTGCGCTCCATTCCAACCCCCACCCCGCATCTCCACTGGCTGCTCGGAGGCAGCCCCCGCTGCCAGCAGCTCCCAGAAGCCTCGCTCATCGCTGAACCAAAAAACCCAAACCCACTGCCATGCAGCCCATTACGATTCCTAGCGACCCTATGTGTTGCTGCTGTAAGTCTTTAGGGAACAGACCACCTCATCTCCCCCCACTCCTGCCCGCCTACTCTAGTTGGGCTTCGCTTGTACCACGACCTTGCGGTTAAGAGCTCAAAGCTTAGCCCGCAGCACCACCAGGGTTTCTTTCTTCTCGCTCTCATCCAGAGGGACCCCATTCTGCCAGGCTCTGCCTCCCCACTTCTGCGACCTCGGCTGCACCCCGCTAACCTAACCCCACCGTGCATCCAGCAAACCCTCCCACCCCTGCAGGCTGCAGTTGAAAGCCAGAGCTTCCACGGAAGCCCCTTTCCGTCCAGATTCCCGGCCTTGTTTCCAGCAGACACCCCCACCTCAGTCCCCACTCAGACACGGCCCCCCTGCCATCCAGACCCGACCTCGGCCCCCAACCTGTCTCATGCGCCTTCCGGAGGAGCCAGGCGTCCGCGCGATCCAGTTCGGATACCGGGGGCGGCGAAACCCCGGCGCGAGGGCTGTGCCCGGGGACGAAGGGCCCCCGGGAGCCCCCGCTCCGGGGCCGCTGTGGCGGCACCAGCGCCCCCCGGAAGCGGAGTCGGGCGAGGCGGGCAGCCCGAGCCCACCACCAGCCGCCTCCCATAGTTCGTACTACAGCTAGCGCGCTTCACCCCGCCTAATGAACCCCTTATAGGCTGCAGCGCGCGTCAATCAGGTAGATCCGGGCGCCTATTGGCTGTCTGATTACCACTTAGCCCGAGTGCATACTGTACATTGGCCGGAATGGCCGTGGTTCCCGCCTCAGTCTTCATACTGTCAGAGTGCGGCCCAACTGGCTATTGCCACTGGACTACTAATCCCAGAGATCATTGCAGCTGAGGAAGGTTGATCTTCCGGAGCCCGCCGCATGATCTTTCCTGGGACTTGTAGTTTGGGTTTGTAAACTTTTATGCCAATGGTTTTGCAAAGCCACTTTGCAAAATACCAAGAAAGTCCAGAGGAGAAAGAAAAGCTCGCCATGAATTCCACCAATAAACAGCTACTGCTAATGTTTTGTTGTATTCAGTACAGTCTTTTATTTATCCACAGCACACTGGAACAAAATTCAAAACCATTAAAAACAAGAAGAAAAATTAAACAAAACAACAAAAGCAGGCTTACTAGTGGGAGTAAGACTTGTGGCACCCCAGGACTACAGCCCTTAGAAAACCATGTGGCCCAATTTTCATTCAAGCAGTCACTCCTTGCCACCGAGTTGGTGTGAATCATAGCGACAAGACAGAATACCTCAGCACTGTCCCAGAGCAGCTGGTGGGCTCGAATTGCTGACCTTGGTGCTAACAGTTCCAGGTGAAGGGCACCATGCTACAGGTCCGGAAGGGGAAACCCTAGGTATGCACACCTGCGAATAATCGGCCATTTGAGATCCAAAGCACAGTCTTGACCCAAGGGCTGAGTTCTGGAAGAAAAGAGACGGGAAACTGGTGTTCCAGGTGTTCCAGGGAGGACAGGAGATAAGCTGATGTTCAATGTTAGGGATGAGAGTCAACGAGGTGAAATAAAATGTGTATGAGCTGTTGGTTGGATGGAAAACCGATTGGCTCTGTAAACCTTCAGACAAGTCACCATGAAAAACGTAAAAGTACAAGTAAGACGTTTTTAAAAATAAAAATAACGTCTTTCTGGCAATTCATGCCCCCCACAAATCCATAGCCCAATTCCACAGTCTCTTGCTTCATGATTAATACTGAGTTATTACCAGGACAATTAAAGCCTTGGTGCCACCATGGGTAAACATTGGGCTGATCACTGCAAGGTCAGCAGTTTGAAACTGCCAGCAGCTCTCTGGGAGAAAGATGAGGCTTTCCGTAAAGAGTCACAGTCTCAGAAACCCACAGGGGCAGATCTATCCCATTCTACAGGGTCGCTGTGAGCCAGCATCAACTCGATAGCATTGGGTTTGGATTTTTTTAAATTATGACAAGGATGTATCAAAAGTGATGAAGAGGCTGGTGACTCTGTGGTTTAAGTATTGAACTGCTAGCCACCAGGGCAGAGATTCAAACCCACCCACTGACTTCCTCTGGAGAAATAAGGCTGGCTGGCTGCTCCTGTAGTTTTATAGTCTTGGAAACCCTGCAGAAAACTCGGCTCCATCCCACAGTCGCTGTGCATTGGCATCAACTCGTGGCAGTGAGTTTGGGTGGGTTCAGAGCACAGGAATTGCTTGGGTCTCTGCAGTTGGACATCTGTTGTCATTAAGTTCCATCATTCGGTCCTGACTCAGCGATCCTACATATCATAACACACAACACTGCCCAGCCCTGTGCCACCCTGACAACTATTCTTAAAGCAGAGCCCATTGCTACAGCCACTGGATCAGTTCATCTTGTTGAGGCCCCTCCTCTTTGTCACTGCCCTTCGACTTTACCGAGCATCATGTCCTTCTCCAGGGACTGGTCTCTCCTGAGAACATGTCCAAAGGACACGATTTGCTCTGTCGTACATGGGGTGACAATGAGTCAGAACCAAATTGCTGGCACCTGGAAACAACAAGGCACTCACCCTGAGTCAGGGCCCCGTGGGTTAGGCTGGGTTGACTCGAGAAACCAATCCATGGCCACTCATATATGCTCCTTTAGATCAAGGAGTAATTCTATACAACGCAAACAGCCCAGCCCAGTCCAGATCAAGTCCACAAGTCCAGATCAAGTCCACAAGTCCAATACCAGTCCATAAATCCCTCTTCAGACTCAGGAAGACACACGCAATGATGCAGAATTCAGGAACATTGCCGGCTGGTGGGTGCAAAGTCCCATGGATCCAATGGCTCTGGAACCTCCCTGCATGGCTCTTCAAGGCAGCGGGGGAGTTCCTTTTGAGTGCTTTTTGTGGTGGGGTGGGGAATGCTCACACAGCTTCTTTCCTCGTTGGCCCTAAGGAAATGCCTTCAGCTGATACAAGATGTCCAAGTCTCTCCTTCTTTCTTCTTCTTCTTTGTAAAAACCGTTTCATTGGGAGCTTATACAGATATTGCAACAATCCATAATTCAATTAGATCAAGCACATGGGAGATATATAATCCTTTGTCAATTTGAGGATTAAGAGTATAGGGGTGGAGTCTAGCTTGTCAATCAGATCAGAGCCAATGAAGCCTCTGGGTAGGCAGGGCTTTCTCCTGAGAATTCTGGGAAATCTGGTACTTCCTCCTTGGGGGCGGGAGACACTTCTTTCTCTGCCACACCCTGGAAGACACAGCAGCTGACAAGACACATGGACCCTCCCTGATGCAGCCCTGGGAAGCTGTGGAGTGAGGAGGGTCCCCAACAAATCATCACAGGTCCGGTAGGCGCAATTGTACAGCGATAATAAGTAAAGGTTATAGTAAAGTCATAGAGAGCATGAGAGTTAGAGGAGAGATTGGAATAATGGAGTCAGACACAATTCATGGTAGCATGCTCACCTCAGCCCCGCTTGGTGGTCCTCCTGGGGGGAGCCCGGCCATGAGAGCAGGAGAGAGACCCAACTTCATTGTTAACCAAAGGTTATATCTCCTTCCGGAGGCATGGTTACAGGTAACCACGCATCACAGGAAGGGGCAGTACAATAAGCATACACATTGTAGGAAGGGGATGTATGATAGGCAT